CTCTCCCATTCAGGAATGCTGACAAGTTGGGCTGCTCTGTGTGCTCCTCCCCACAGCCAGTAGCATTGTGTGTCTGGGCTAAAAGCTGCACTGGCTAGCTGGCCTTTTTCACTTCCTTTATGCTAGCACGGTTGGCTTGTTGCCAGCTGGTGGTATCTAAAGGGATTTCCGGGCAGTCTAAGGGCTTTAGAAGCAGCAGGAGTCATACAGGTCCCTTTAAGTATCCCCTTGAGCTACTCAGACTGACCCAACTCAAGCAGGAGGAGAGAGCTTGTTGCTCCAAGTGTGGTGTGTTCATTCTGCCTATGGCAATGGGTATGTGCAAAGGTGGTTCTCAAAGCCCCTTGGCACCATGGTGGTAGAAATGTGCTGCAGGAGGTGGCATTGTCAGGTCCCAAGGACTTGGCTATACTGAAGCTTCTAATTACTGTGGCATTTCCTCTGGGCTAAAATAAATGAATGAAGCAAATGCATGAAGTCCCATGGAAGAAATCTCGGAAGGTAGATGGGATTTTAGGGCACATTTGTGTCTTTCCCTCTGTTCCTCCTCCCTTGTCTTCCTCTCTCGCCATCTTTCATGCTAGCTGGGCAGAGCAATTGGACCCTAGCTGGGAGCGAGGCTTCTTCCCAGTGTTTGGCTGCAGCCAGCCCCTGCTTTACTCTGCTTGCTGCTTGAGTGGTAATGCCATCATGGGTCTGTGGTTCAGTGACTTACATGGATCAGCCTGCTGTACCATGGGACTTCGGAGGGAGGGGAATCAGAGAAGGGAGGGAGAGGGTATGTCTCATCCTCTCCTCTCCAGGTCAAAGTGCCTCCTTGTTGCTGCTGTGTTATATTTCTATTGCTGCACTTTGATGCACTGAGAAATTACAGAACAGTGAAATAAAAGCTGTGTTTTGTGACGCTTCTAGCTTTTTTCTTAGGCTTGGGCCTAAAGGCAGTTGCCTGTCATGTCTGGTTACAGGGGGACTTCTCTCAGTCTTCAGGGCCTCCTACTGAGTTCTCAGCTCAAAAAATGATGTGGGGCAAACCAGATCATTTACTCTGTGGGTGTGGGCAGCAAACATCCTGGTTTGAGACCTCAGGTCTTACCTGCTCCACAGGGCTGCAGGGTCAGAGAACTGTTCTTCAAGATACCTTCCTCAGTTGTTACTGTCCTTCTGCATCAGATACAAGAAGATCCCTGCAATGCTGGGGTTCCCCTGGGGAATCCCAGTGGTGTTGAGGATTTTGCACTTGGAATCAGGAGTTGGAAGGATATCAGTAAGTAAAGAGAGCCCTTGATGAGATCCTCTCCTGTTAAAAACCACTGTTACGCCACTGAAGCCGTGATACTTAAACAAGCACTAGGATCTGACCTTCTTTGTGGAAATCAAACGTATACCATTGAATTGCCAGTTCTTGCTACCAATTAATAACTTCTGAATCTTGGCTGATTTCACCTAAGATTTTAAGAAGGTATGAAGGCTGAGGTGGAACAGTAGTGAGATAAAGAGGGAAGAATCAAAAAATAAATAATAATAAAAAAAATGTTGCCAGCTGGCTTGCTATTGTATTTCTACAGGCCAGCCAGTCAGAAGACATGAAACTGAAGTATGAGGGACTATATTACCCGTCTTCTGGTTGGGATGATTTGGGAGGAAATAAAAGTTGAGAAACACTGGATGGAGGAAGATTTGGCCACTGTTAGGAAGGGACCATGGTTTATGAGGATTCTGGGCTATTAGAGATACAATACACACATTCAAGGAAAAACGGCCTTTTTTCAAGGGGCAAATGCCAGGTGTAAGGGAGCCTTGCAGTGCTGCAGGAGCAGTTAGCAACCAGTCTGGCCTCCCAGCTCTCCTTCATCGAGGCAGATGCAAGCTGATTTTCAAGGGCTGTACTTGTGTCGTGACCCTTGGATTCTGCTGTTCTGGATCTGGTTGTGGTACCCTGTGCAGTCCAGCCTATTTGCTTTAACTCAGGCCACTTGTACCACTGGGAAATTAGATTTTTTTCCATCTGTTTCTCAGATGCATTTGGTTTCCGTTTCCTCCAGCACGCACTGCACCTGCTGTCCTTGGGTTCGTGCAGAGACTGCCTACTTACCTTGCTTTTGCTCTTAGTCCTTCCTGCTTGTCCCCTTTGTCTCCCCATTGCTCAGTTCTGCTTCAGGTTTACTGCAGTGAGCACTGCCCCTAAAACTCTTGGTAGGGTAACCAAGCAGATGGTAGTGAGGGGACCCACTCGAGGGGCTCAGAGAGGCCAGGCCTCAGTCTCTGCAGCCCTAGTGCTGTTTGCTGCCTCGGAGGTGCAGTTGGAAAGCACTGCTCCAAGTACAGCACTGTCTGGCTGCCAACAGCTTCTGGTTTACAGACAACAGCCTGTCCGTGCCTCCCATGTGGGCACATGCTGCCACAGCGTCCCTGCACTGCTGTTTCTGTTGGGTGAGAAGGCCTCCGGTTTGACAAAGAATTGGAGGGGCAGGAGGAAGGGATCCCTGGGCATGGAGAACAGAGCTCTAATCCTGTTGCAGATAACATCATGTCTGTAGGCTAGGCTTGTGTGTGTTTGGGGGAACTGGAGGGGCAGAGATTGTTAGGCAGTATTTGTTTGTAAAGCCACTTGCTCTGAAGATAATGCTTGCACTAACTTCTATTGAGGGAGCAGTGTGAGTCCCCACAAAGTCCTTTCCCAAAGTGTCTTTGAAGCCAAGAACCCATTGAAAGGAAGAAAGGCCAAGAGAGGGGATTAGTTTGTTCAGCAGCTGTGAATTTCAGTGGGAGGCTGATGAACTCCAAAGTCTTTGTTGAGATTTTTTTTTGTAAGGAGCCCTGCTGGAGGGAGAGACCCACACGGGGGCCGCGGCCTTAGACAAGAAGGAATCCGAAGCGGCAGGGAGCTGTAAACGGGCCACAAGGACTTTTCCCAAACACTTTTCGGAAAAGGTGTTGTGAAGAGAGCGGAGGGGGATTAGCATGTGAAATGACACTTTCCATTGACTCCACAGAGGGGAGGGGAAAAGGGCTGGCTGGCTGATTTATTAGCATTTTGTTCCCTTCTCTTTTCTGCGCCCCCAGCAGCCCCCCTCCGCTTGCTCCCCTCCTCCTTGAGCCCTCTAAAGAGGTTTGGATTGGAAAAGGGAGCGGGGGGCTGCCTGTTTGTGTGTCATCTGGGCGAAGGTGACCACCTGGGAAGCTGAATGTAAATATTTCTCCTCTGAGGAATGCGCCTTCATTAAAGCGAAATGAATACATGGAAGCATCCAATCCTGCCACACAATGGCAGCAGTGCCTTTACTGCCTAGGGCTGCTTTTGCTGGGGAGGGGGACCCCTCCGGGCCCCGACCCGCTGCTGAGGTCAGCACATTTTGCAGCTGCGGTGTCGCCATTTTGTCCCAGAGAAAGAAGCATGCGGCAGTGGGGCCCCTGCTCCCAATGCGTCCTGTGTGCCCCCTCGCCCCAGCAGGCCTGGGGAGGGCTGGGGACGCTGTTCCCCTTCGCCAACTGGCGTCACCCTGCCTGGTGGGCGCATCCTGGCCTGCGCCACAGTCTTCACAGGGCACTTGTGTGGGGCAATGGCACAGGCAGGGGAGGGAAGGAAACAGCTTCCACGGCTTCCCCTTTTCTTCTTTTTTGAAGCTGGCTGTGGAATGGGGGAACACAGAGGGACAAGGGGTGGAAGCTGTCCTCTCTGCCTTGCGGTTGCCCCTAAGCTAGCCTGTTCTGAAGCTTTTCTCTGCTAGGTGACAGGCTCTCTGCAGCTCTCTACTTTCCTGCCTAAGGATGCATTCCCACCCCGGGGAGCAGGGCGAGGTGGTGCCAGAGATGCAAGGGAGACCTGGGGCAAGGTCCTTGTGTTAATAGGAATTTTGTGCACACAGCTGGTGGCTTGTGTCTGGAGCAGAAGTGTTTCAGCTTTCCCTGAGAATAGGCCAAGATTTTTTTTTTCTTCAGTTTTTGAACTGCCAGATTCTTGCTTCATGTGAATACTCTTGCTCTGGTGGGACCTTAGCTTGCCCTAGGTCTGAATTCCCAGCCCCATCAAAATAGCCCTGAGATGAAGGGGATATTTTATAACTGAGACACACATACAGACTGTGGAGTGTCTTTAGTGTGTCACCTCTGAAATGGGCACTTGGGCCTCTATCTGCACCCTCTCACCTCCTTTTCTTCTCACAGCTGCACTGCAGTTTGAGCTTGCCTGAGGCTGCATCCAAGAGAGCAAACCCTTTCCTATCATGGTAGGGGTGGAGGTGGAGGGAACTGGTCAGCTGTCCTTGTGCTAAACAGATGAGTAAGTGTCTGTGTTGTAGTCTCCAGAACTTTAACTACATACATCTGCACATGGAATTGGACAAACAAAACACCCAACACAACAGCATTTTGCAAGCACTTAGCTACTGATTTATTGCATTGGCTATTGGTTTACAAATATTGACTACGAGACAGATCTGATGGCCAGTAACTTAGTTCTGCTGGCTTCTCATCTGTCTAAAGGACACTTCAAACAGCAAAGTCAAGTATAAATTCATAGCCTGAGGAAGATCACTGTGATGGTGCAGTAAGTCTCCTCAGGTCCTGCTTCTTCTAGCCTCTTCCCTGCCTACCTCAGCCATGGCAAGGAACAGAGATGAATCAAACAAATCTTCCTGCTGCTTGCTTAGCCTATAGAGTATATACAATATGCCGTGGAGGAAAAAATGTTATGTATACATCACAGTAACTGTGCAATAAATTAAACTTCAAAGTGCTTCACTTTCCTATTTACAACACCATTAAATAGAAACTGACATTTTCTCAGACTAGGAAGAAGTATTTAGTTAGTTAGCTGACAGGGTAAGAGTGCTCAGCAAGTACACCAGGAACTGGGGAAGGGGCTTAGCTGGCAGCTCCTCTCTGGGAGAGATTTGGGAGGGAAAAGGGACTGGAGAAGTATGAGGGCATCATTATGGCACCAGTCAAGGGCTGGGGTGAAAAGGGAGGCCAGACCTGGAGGCTTTGAAGATAAAAAGGAAGCATATAAAAAAGTAAGTGATGTGACCCCTTCTTAGGACAAATGTTTAATGGGCAGGTCAAGCAGCAGCTTGAATTTTGCTGCTGCTGTCTCAGTTGCAAAGTGAAGCATTGGAGAGTTTAGCAGAGCTGTGAAGGGATGGGAGGTGATGCTGTGGGCCTCACAGAGGCTGGCTCACTACAGGAAAAGAGTTGCATACCTTTTCTCTTTCCTCATAGTGCAGGGCTTAATAAAAAGCAGTAACCATTTTCTTTTAGGGCCTCTTTTTTTGTTACTATAAGCCTCTTCTGTTTTAGGGTATACCACTCTGAGTGGCCCACATTTAGTGGTGCCGTCTTAGCTTCCTCATGTTTTCATGAGTGTTGATCTTGTTTGCTTAAAAGCCCAGAGCAGCGTGAGCAGTACTTGCTTGGGGAACAGAAAAGCTGAAAGGAGCAGGAGCCACAGAGACCAGCTGCATTTTCGGCAATAAAAAGAGTCACTGGATAGAGTAAACTTGGGTTGAAGGGCCCAAATCTCACCTGGTTTTGTCAACACGAGTGTCCCAGAGGTCATCAGCCCCTGCACTAGAAGGAAATGCCCTGTATGGCCAAGGCCCAGGGGAGTTCTTCTGCTTTGTCCAAGCCCCAGTGAGGTGATGCTGGGTGAAGAGGCCTTGCTTGGGAATGAGACAAAGCTAACCCCAAAGGAAATGGTGCCAGGGGCTGCTGGGGAGGTGGGAAGGGAAGGAGAGGAGAGGCAGAGAGGACCGTGGAGGAGCAGGGGGCAGTTAGAGCTTTCTCTTGAGCTTGCGGCTGGCCCCACCACCCCCACTCCGCTCCCGCTTCTCCTTGCGGACGCAGAAGTACTTGGTGACCCTTTTGCGGCACTGCTCGCACCTCACAGCACAGCACCAGTGGAACTTGCAGTTACAGCTGGACACCATCTCAGCCCGCCTCTCCTCCACTGCTAGCCCGCAGTCCCCACACAGCCGCCGGCAGCTCCGCTTCTCCCACTTGCTGAGCGCCTTGCCTCTCTTCAGGCACTCCCTCCCCTCCGTGCCCAGCAGCCCCAGCGTCTTGTTCTCCAGGCAGTAGTCAGGGGAGTCTTCCAAGTGGACCAGCTCCTTCTTGGAGATGGAGCTGAAGGTCTCGGCAATGGCACCCCGGCTGGCAGCGCTGTTCCCTGCCCCCTGCAGCAAGTCCACCTTCAGGGCCTTGTGGTACCTCTCCTTGAGGTAAGTGCCCACCTCCCGAAACTCGGGCAGCTGCAGCCAGCAGGTCTGGGTGGTGCAGCTCCCCGACACGCCATGGCATTTGCAAGTCCGCTTCATGGTCCCTTTGACGGCCTGCAAGATGAGGAGAGAAAGAGGATGCAGGAAAATGCCCAGAGGGCTCATGGGGGTCATTTCTGTGCTGCAGCTCATGGACAGGTCTGTCTCCAAGCTTGTGGAGGGGTCTGCCATGGCCCCTCCTTGTACAATAGCCCTGCCCAGGGATGGTTGGTTAAAAGTTCAGGTTTGCTTCTCCACAGTACTTTACCACTTGAAGAGGGAGAAAGGACAGCAAGAAGGAGTCAGCAGGGTAATCACAGAAGGTTTGCTATGTTAGAACAAACACTCATGTCAGTACTGCTACCCCGCCTTCCCCTCTCCTCAGCAAGGTAATTATTTCTCCTGGGCACATGCTTTTAGCCACCGCAAACAGTGAGTCTCCATAGCGAATGACCAGAACACATCAAGGATGTGCTTCCAGGTCTGGAGGGAGGGAGGGGGCTCACCTTTCTACCCGCCTCATTGTTATGCAGGTTCATAGCAGCTCTGGCATCTTGTCCAGTCTCCAGGGCATCCACAAACTGCTTGGAGATGGCTTCCCCGAAGCCCACGTTATCACTGCAGCCTCCCCATAGCCAGCCTTGCCCACCTAGGAAAGGAGATGAGATGTGCACTGCCAGGGAACCAGCCCCTCACCGTGCTGTGGCCCCAGGGATGAGAAAGGGCGATCACCAGAAGCAGTGGGATGGGGAATGGAGGCTTGGGGACAAAGCCAGCCATTTGCCCAGTGGTATTCCCAGTTTCCCTCCCCTTGTGTTTCTGCCATTTCTACTGAGACGTGGGCAGTATGTGGCTCATGCAGGAAGTGAAGGCACATGTGAGAAACCCAAGGATTTCCAGGCTTTCTACAGAACAGGATTCAGAAGCTGTTAATAATCATATATCAGAAATCTTAAATAGATGAAGCTTTGGGTCTTTAATCACCTTCCCTCTAAACATGACTTTAACCAGACCAGTCTGAAACCATACAGCAAGACGTGGCGGGTACTTTTGCTAACCTAGTGTGGGCTTGATAATTTAGCTCAGCTGCCTGGAAACACATTGTGCGGTTTCTTCTTTTCCTCCTAGAGAAAAATACCAAATTCTCTGGGAAGGTTTGAAATCTGGAATATTCTGACCCTTGTGTGCCTCAGTGGTACATTGTGGGCGTTGTGGTTTAATGGCCTTGTGCCTCTTGTCCCTGAAAGGCCTGGCCCTTGCCTGGGTGCCCTCTCACAGGGAAAGGCGGTGGTGTCTCACGGGAGGTGGATGATTGCAGTGGATGATGAAGTCCAAATCAAGAGCTGGGGCCGAAGGGAGAATGGAAACATTTAACCAGCGCAGAAACAGAAACCCAGAGTCAGTGTGGCAGCATGTGGAATTGAACCGTAATGTTTTGGACAAACCCAAAAATTTCCTTTGCCTGCCAAGTTTTTAAGTTCGCAATGGAAAAATTTCATGAAAAACAGACGTGTTTTGGGGAAAGGAAGTGTAGCATGACTAGCTCAATTTTCCAGAGAAGATAAAATTTGTTGTGTTGTTGCCCAAAAGTCTTGCTCTGCTAGAGATGGGCCATCCCAGGCCTCAGACACCTATGAAATTGTGACTGTTTTAAAAAGTATTAGCCAATAAAGCAAATTACTCAATACTGGACACTCCAGTGGAGTTTGTCACAAACTGACACACACCAACTGTCCAGTACAGTTAAGAAAAAAAAGGCTTTTATCTTGATAATTTAAAAATCTCACTTTTTTCCTTTCAAAACAAAATGCCCAAATTTCACTGTTTTGTGTGAGAGCTGAGGGGAGAGCCAAAGTGGTAAAGCCCTGGGGTTCCACACCAAGGGCTGTGCAGCAGCTAGAGGCTGGGGACAGCAGGGATGGGGATGAGATGAAGGCTGGGCACTGCCAGTGTTTCTCCTGACTGTGATCTCATGTATCTGCCGCACTGATGAAAGCTCCTGAGGCCTATAAATGCCATCCTGCATTCCCCAACAGTAATTCTGGTGGAATTGTGGAGGAGAGGAGAGCTTCCTCCTGCAGTCTGGGGCATGACAGGGGGACCCCAGCTTGTCTGTCCTTACCGAGCTGCCCATTGCGGGAGTCATCACAGCCACAGTTGTCAAAATCCCCCAGGCTGCAGTTCCGGGTCAGTGTGTACATGACGCCTGCGGAGCTGATGGCATGGACAAAGGCGGTTTCTCGGTTTGCTGTCAAGTGGGAAGACAAGGAGAGCAAATGTGCTAAAGATTTCATGGCAAGACCAGTGTTAGAAATGACTCTTGCCATGCAGGAGACTGGGATGGATGAGATTTGCAATGAACAGGGAAGAAAGGATACCCTATATGTTAGATTAGCTTTGTCTTGAACCACATGAAGATGAAAGTTACCAGTCTCAAACTGACTTGTGCTATTTCCAAGGGTGTGGATGAGTTCATCACTTGGCTGTCGTGGGAGCTCACCAGAGGGTGTACAGACACACAAATGTCCCCTTCATCTCACTGATACACCCCAGGGAGGAAGGGGCCTTCTCCCTCAAGCCTTTTCTTCTGCTAGACACCAGCCCACACTGACAGGGGCTCAGTGTGGTACCCATACCTGCCCACCAATATCTGTGTGGTGTTCATCAGCTAATGTCACTGGGCCTTTGGCTTTCATTTAACATCAGCAGGGGCTGTGTCTGAGCAGATAACCTAGACAGGAATGGTTCTGGGACCCCCTCCCCATCCCAACTAACACTGGATTTCTGCACCAGGTATCTCTGATGACACAGCCTCCTGGAAGCTGTGGGGAGATTTTCCTCCTTCTCCTGCTCCTTGGCCAGAACACAGCCACCACAGAGCTCTGTCTTGCTCACTTCACTCCCATCCCCTCTGTTCATTGCCCAAGCTGATTCCCAGCCCTGAAGGCAAGAGGCCCCCCTTGGGCATGGTGTATCCAGCAGCCCACACGGGGCTTGGTGGGGCACTCCTGCACCATCTGGGTCTTGGCTGGTCCAGAAGCAGCACTGGAGTTGCAAGGCTGCCTTGCCTTGAAGCTAAGTCCCAGCACATGTCTGATGGGTGAAGGGGCCTCCTGGAAGATCCCTCCTGGGCTTTCCCAGGAGAGGGACAGCCCAGATGGGAATGGAGCAGGAAAGGAGGCACATGGGAAGAGAGGAGGGGCTGCTGGGCTCTAACCTGTGGCAAGGGGGTCCCGGTAGTGGTGTCCAATGCTTTCCTTACCGCTGCGCAGCCCGCCGTGGCTGGAGAGCTGCAGTGCCCTCTCGGGGCAGTTCCAGCGGTCCCAGGCGAACTGGAACTTGCACTCCTCGATGCCGCTCTGCGCCCCGGCCGCCACGCTGCTGGAGTAGATGAGATAGGCCTAGGGGCAGAGCAGCAGGTCAGGAGGGGGATGGCACCACCCTGGCACTGCATATTGTGGGTCCTGCTGCTTTGGGGTCTCGATGGATGGAGAAGTATGGTGCAGAGCGCCAAACTCCCTAGGAGGCTGGCATTCAACTGCAAAGAACCTGTGTGCCATCTTACTGAGACAAGATGTACTGAGCTGAAGGGCTGTCCTGGGTTTGGCTTCCCTGGGGTCTGGCAGTTGCCAGCAGCCGCAGGAAATGCATTTTCTGCTGTGCTGGGTCAGAGGCTGAGCCTCCTGCAGGAAGAAGGCCAAATGGAGCTGTTGGCTAGTAGCCATGTTAGGAGCAATGTGCTGGCCAGCCCTGGCAATGGGGAAACCCTTATCTCTCCAGTGTGAAAGGAGATGGCTTCTAAAGATGGGTTTATCAGGAGGAACAAAAATCTGGGGGTGAATTTTACAGCTGGTCCTGGTTATGGAAAAATAAGCCTCTAAAAGAGGGATCCAAGGAGGAGGGGAGTGTCCCTCCAGCTAGATAACCATGGGTCCTGATGCTGACTTGATAAGCGGGAAGCGATAGATGGCAGGTGAAATCCTCACCTGATGTCAATAGATCTATGTCCAAATTCTGACCCCAAGCAGCTTAGGATCCCAGGCTCCTTTGCTGACAGCCCATGAAGCTGCGGCTCTTGGGAGGGTATCCCTGGCCCTCCCATGCCTTGTTGCTGGAGTCCTGGGGTGAGGGGAGCTTTGGCTGAGGCTGGATGGAGAGGAGTGGGAAGGAGGAGCCACCCCCCACCCCCTCCCCTGGGTTTAGTGGAATCAGGGACAGAGATCAAAGGGATTTCTCTTACCTTGGGGCCCGTCATCAGGAAATTATTCACTGACCTGGAAGACAGAGACAGTGTCAGCAGGGAGGGGGTGACGGCGGAGGGGCCTGGGGAATGCCTGGCATCCCAGGGCTCTCCTCTCAGCCCTGCAGCCTGCCTGGCTCCTGGCTGCAGGCACCTCTGGTCTCTTGGTGCCTCCTCCTTCCCCCTGCCTGCTCCCCCCTCCAGGTTGGACCCTCTCTGCCTGCACAGCCCCAGTGACCCCTCTTCCCCTGGTCCCCATGGCTGCACTGTCCTCTGTCCTCCTCTCCAGAGCAACTCCTCAGCCCTGCTGTCTGCACCCCTTTCCCTCCCCACTGCTGCAGTCCCCTGTCCTCTATCACCACTCCTTCCTTTCGCTCTCCTTCTCACAGCTGCCCTTCATACCAATTCCCCCATCTTTTTAGCGTTTCCCTGCTCACCTACCCTTGCCTTTTGCCATAACCAAATGCTGCTCAGCTTAACTCAGTGTAGCGTGCACCCAGCCCCAGGAGATGGGCCATGCCCCACAGCCTCCTGCATTCCTGTGAAGCCAGCTTTGGCAGCCCATGCTCTCCTCTTGCTTAGCCCAAATTAAACTTTGATGTTTTCCAAGTGAAATGTGAAAAAATGAGATGAACAGTTTCCAGAGCTGCCCGCTTGTAAGTATTCCTGTGAAAATTTTATTTCCGCTACTGTTCATGGAAAACTGCCACTATTCATATAAATTAATTTTTCTACTGAAAATATGCGAGGTCTGCTTCAGTAATCTTAAATTTTGGGCTCCTAAAATCTTAAGTTCTGTGAGCCTCATGATCCCCCTGCTTTGCTCCATAGATCAGCAAATTCTATTCCTTTTACAGAGGGGAAAAAAAATTAAAATGTGGGCTCTCTTCCTAAGGATATTGCAAAATAAAGGAAAGCATCTCTCATATTTATTTTTTGAATCACAAGTTTTTTGTAACCAATTTCACGCTCTTTTGGCATGTGGTTTTTGCTTGCCGTGACACAACATTTTTAATCTCTTCTCATTGCTCCCACCTGAGACTGCCCTGCCCAAAAGGCCACACCGTGCCCCATGAGATCTGCTGCCTGCCAGGGTGACTGCACAGCCTGAGCTGAGAGCAGCTTCCCCCTTTCCTCGGGCAGTGGTGGGATGTGACACTGTCCTCAGCAGGGACTGAGAGTGTCCTGAGCTGCTGGTGTTGCTGGGTGGCAGCTGGGGGCTGCTGAAGCTGAATGAAGGCTTTCAGCAGGTTGCTGTAGGATCATCAACCCCTCAGCCTGGCTGCAGGCTTGTTAAGCCAGGCTTGCTCACAGGCCAGCATTCATTGAGTATTTCTCCACTGGAAAAAATCCCCGCTGGCCTCCCCTGTTCCCTGCAGCCTTGAGCTCCTTCCTCTGCACCAGCACAACGATTTGCAGGATTGTGCTGGAAATCACGGTCGCTGAAACCATCATAGTCTCTTTTTCCAGCAAGAAAGGCTGTTTGGATGCAAGTGGTCTGTCAGTATCAAGAGCATGTGTGGTGCTGTGACCACCACGAGAGATCTGGAGGACGCAGCTCAGCTATGCCTGGCAGAAAGGACAACAGCCAACCCCAACAATCCCTAGCCAGAAATGAAGCAAGAGGAGGGAGGCTTATCCTACGATCAGCTCGTTCCAAATCTCCAGGTTTGCAAAATAACCCTCATGACTATTTCTGGTGACTGCAGAGAGCCTGTCCTGCCTGCACGCTGTGGCTCTGAGGAGATGGGTGCGTGCTGTACCCCAGGGGAGGACAATGATGCTGGAGAGGTGATGTGAGCTGATTGAGACCTTGCATTGAGTAACAGAGCAAAACGCTGGAGCATAAATTAAGAGAAACTGGGCTCTCACAGAGCCTTAGCATCCCAGCAGTGCAGGCGAAAGCAGACACTACCAACCCAAGCTGGGGGAAGAAGTGCAGCCATGCAGCAGTTCCCTCAGCTGGAGCTGCCCTGATGGAGATCTCAGAGGTACACCACAAAAAGGAGGGCTAAGGAGGGCTAGCTGCTTTAGCTCAGTCAAAACCACAAGAAACCCGATCGTTGCTATTACTCACAGTTCAGGGGTTTAAAGAGCTAGCTTGCAAAGTTTCGTTTGGCAAGTACTTTTTTATTTTCCTTTTTTTTTTTTTTTTTTTTTTTTTTTTGTGGAAATGTATCCATATGGATGAAGATATGGGAAAGGCTCCCCCGGGTCAAGGTGGGAGGGGGCCGCGGCCAAGGCACAGTGTGAGAGCAGCAGGCCCTTTCCTTTGTTTCAGGCCCAGGATTCAGCCCCAGCTGTTCTTCAGGCCCGGTGGGTGCTTCGGCATGAAGCTGATGGCTATTTTGCAGAGGAATTTTCCTCTGGGAGCCGCTTCTGCATTGTACAGCTAATTAAATATTTCCTGGGACTTGGAGAGACGGCATCTGTAGCCGGGTGATTAGAGCATCGGGTGACCTGAATCACACAGGGGCATGAACCTGGGGCTTTTCAGGCTGTGTAAGCTCTGTGGGTCCCCATCCTCGCGCAACTGGGTAGCAGCATGAACAAGTTATTTTCCGTCTGTTTTCCCTCCTGTCCTTTGCCTTTTCCTTAAGAGCTTTGCCGTGGGGACCACACTAGCTTGTTTATGATGGCGTTGGTATGAATCTGAGCCCCTGGTAGCAGCTGTGAGAAAATTCTGCTAAAATGCCCTCATGTAGGCAAGATCTAGGGAATTACAATTCCTCTCTTATCTGGCCCTTGTGAAACGAGAGACATCCCATCTGCACTGCTTCCTACTTCTTTGGTAGGGAAAGGCAAATTCACAGTGTGCAAGAAGCATTTGTTTCAAACCTTTGCGGGCCTCATCTTGGACTAGGAACATCTGAGAAGTTGTAAGGGTGGCTTTAGGAGGAGGACAGTAATCCACGGGTTCAGGTTTTACAGAAAACCAGTCTGCTAGCAGGCATCAGTTGACATAGCTGCATTGAAGCAGTGGGTCTGTTCCTCCCAGGATAAACCTCAAGGTTCACAAAAAGGCCAAGTTCAGGATATGCCAATTCACCATCTGCAGCTGAGCAAATGGTACGGTAGCGGTTTCCCAGTAGGATATTCTGAAAATTTTTATTAAGTCGGGGAGACAGAAGGCATTTTCCCTGAGCTCTCCGATCAACAGGCAGGCACACTGCTGGGTAGGTTTGTAGCACTTAGAGGAGTAAAGGATTTCTTCAGATCAGTACGCTTCCTCCCCCCACACACACAAATAACTCTTGCAGCTGCAAGTGCATTCAGGACAAGGGGAGATGGGACAGTTTGAATATTGGGGTACTATCTGCTGAAAAGTGGGCCATTGTATGGCTGGAAGTTTTCTTACTTATGCTGAGAGGGAACAAAAGGTAGCAATGGAGACAAACTGTTCACTTTGTCCTCGACCATATGATATAGCTAAGAAAAATGCATATGTTTTTCTGGATATATTCTCTAGCAAGGACAGAAAGCAATTAAGCCACTCATGCCCCAGAAGTAGTGGACTGTTGGCAATGCCGCTGGAGCCATCTCTGAAAGGCAAGTAGCATAGAAATGAATCTCTCTTTGATTTTGTCTCTGTAACATGATTTGTTTATTGTTTTTTATATTTTCTAGCTATCTAATACTCTTTCCCTCCACCTCCAAACTCCAGGATAGCATTACACGGATGGGAGCAGAGCACAGACAGACCTCAGTAGGCAGGGAGTGGGGTCCCGCTGAGTGCTACAGCCACCTCCACAGCCCACGCACGGCACTGGGCAGGGTGTGCTAACTCTGCTCATCCTGAGAAAAAGCAAACCTAGGACAAGTGGTGTTTCGTTGCGTCTGGTATTAGAAAATTATCTCAAAGCTAACCTATAGCAGAGGTTGTCTGTCACATGGTGTTGGGTTCAATAGGAAATGATGCCGCCAAGCATCTGTCCTATTATATTTTACACATATCAAATACTAATAAGCCTCTGATAATTTCTACTCAGTTACAATGTTACCCAGTAACACGCACCCTGCTCCTCAGTTTAATATGCCCTGAGAGCCTTATCAAATCTCTCATTAAAGAACTTGTTTGATACCTGATCACCCACTCACGCTACTCTGCTGCTGATTCAGATTTCTCTCTTTAGAAAATGATACAGCTGTATTTAGATCTTTACTGTCATTGTTTTAAATGCAGAAAATGGATACAATTTCACTTTCGACCTGAATTTTATCCTCAAGCTATTAGAAAACCAGCAACACCAGAAACTAGAGGCAACCCCATATCTGAAGTATAAAAAGCATTTTAATAATACCAAGTTGTGGCATTAGAGGTTGTTACATTATTCCTACAGGATAAGAAACTGGGAAGTAACTCATTAACATTTGAGGTTTTACATTTGTTATTTCATTTCTCTTGATTTTCTTATATTTATTAACCTTTTAGTTGCTAAATACAACCCTGGCACTTTGCTGGTCTAGAAACATGTTGACTGTTCCACCTAGCTTATATGGCAGAATCTAATTCACTATCAGAAAAGGAAAGTGGCCACATATACAAAAAGCATTTATTGTTGATCTAAATACCTCCCCATGCCCTGCTCCCAATTATAGTGATCAAATCCCAGAAGGAAAAAAAAATACCTTGTTGCATTTTAAGCACTTAGATCAGATAAACAGCAGAAATTGCAAGCAGGATTATTACAATTCCCATTAACTTTTTTTTTTTTCCTCCTCTGTGAGAGTTAAAGGACAGGATCTGTAATATGATCATTTCAAATAAAGTTTACAATTTTCCTTTCTCTCAGGAAACTATGACCTATGAGCAAGATGCTGAGAGAAGAAGAGCTATCTTGAGCTATAAACTTTTCTTTTAGATAAAACCTTCTGAAAGTCAAGCAGGACATTTAGACATCCCACTTCCATTGAAAATGTCTGGGATTTCTGTATTTCACTCCACTGCATGCACTGAAAATTCTGTCCTTTGAACTTTTTCTAACAGACGTTGATTTATTTTTTTCCTTTTAATGTATTTTAAACCTGTTTATATCGGGGAAAGTAAGAGACATATAAAGGGAGAAGGAAAAGAACAAAATAAAATCAGTATGAGTTTTTGCCTTGCTTTGCCTTTCTGCATAACATACATATTCCCCTTGCTCAAGAAGTAAAATTTAGCCTGAGTTTGCTACTGTATCATAATTAGAAGTATACAAGGGAGAAGAAAACCTCTGAGAGAACACAGATTTCACCCCCACCCTAGCAAGAATGAGTTCCCACTTAGTCTTGAGTTTCCCTTTCTGTAATTTTGTTTTTTCCATCCACAGTAACAACTCCAGAGATCTGCTATGGGGGAGGCAAGGGATTTTAGTAATTGAATGGGAAAAGGCTTTCCTTGCTGTTAGAGATAAGTCTGCGATCCACTGAGCAGATTCCCCGGGACATCACAGAAAGGGAGAATAAAGTTTGGGTACTCAGTAGAAATCACTTATGAAAAAAATACGTAGAGCTCGGTCATTTGAGTCCATCTCTGCCTGAGCATGGGATAGATATACTCCACAAGGGATGATACAAGGACTGATGCAAATGTAATCTCTTTCTGTTCACCGTTATAAAACATTTCTGGAAATAATATAAAGCAACTCTGAGGATGAGCAATAGGTCGTCAGGAGATAACCACAGGTTTGTACCCAGGGGACGCTTCTGATGGGTCCCAGGTGGTTGGGAACCAAACCATAGCAATTTCTACACCAAAAGCTTCTCCCCAGGAAACCCTAATACACGAATTTCAGACATGTAATCCTGACCCTGTGCCTGCATCAGACTGATGCTCCTGTGTATCGAGCTTATCCCTGCTGTCTCTGAGCTCTTAATCAGGGACTGTCTTCTCTGGGGAGAGTAAGAGAAGCCCCATTTGATTTGGTTAAGATAAGAGGCAAGCAGACAGTGAGCCTTTGGAAAACCAGAAATCCCTGACTGTCCCAATGGGATATCTCCCCAGTTGGAAGTGAGGGGCTAGATCTTCCACATCTTCTCTTGGGACATCCGCTCCAATTTACCCCAGCTCAGGATCTGTCCCATAGAGTAAATGCTGGGAGGTGAGGGGGGGAAAAGGGAATTCTCTGCTTAGATCAAATGTCTCTGCCAGTGGTTGTCTTGGGACTTAGTTAAATATCTGGTCTCACTAAAGTACAGAAGAGAGCTATGTGGAAAAGAGGGGACATTTAGGAAGGTGAAGAGGAATATCCTTAGGGTCTCTGGGAAGGACACCTGCCTGCGACACAGGCTGAGGTGCTCTCAATACTCACCAGGCACAGCAGGGTTGGAAGAAGGGAGTGAGGAGGAAGATGCCCAGATAAGGGTCCATGTGAAACATAAAATCCAAGTAAAGAGGGAGAAAGGACATCCTAAAAAATAAAAATAAAAAATTGGGTACCACCACCAGGGAAAAGAAAAAGAAAAAAAAAAAAAAGCAACAAAATTAGGGAAGGGATGGAGTTATTTTCCACCCGGCGCTCCTGGTGTGATGAAGAGGCGCATGCCCCCTGAATCCCAACTTCTGTGAAGGGTAACCAATCCTAAAGTAAGAGCTAAAGGGGGTTGGTGAAATGGAGCCGCAGAACTTCCTAAGAAGAGATTATCTACTTAATTAAAGATTTTTTTTTCCCTAAGTCCTTCAGCCAATCAGGACTCAAGTGCCAGAGAGAGATTGAACTGATGAAAAGAACACCCCAGGTTCCTCGAAGACAAATGCACCACGAAAGGGATAAGAGGGAGGGAAAAGGGGGGGAAAAGGAGAGAGAGAGAAAGAAAAAGAGAGAGAGAGAGGGAGAAAGAAAGAGACAGCAAATCCCTTAAAGCAATCACTAGACTCAATCTCCACGGCTGCTGCCCTGCCTCTCTGTCCCCCGCTAAGGCAGCGGGAAGGGCTGCTCGCCGTGCCCTCACCTCCTCCTGCCACAGAGGCACTACCAGCAGCTGGGTGCTCTGGCCTGGGGGCTTGGGGATGGCCCACCTGTGCCCCATCTTTGGAGGTGTCAGGGAGAAGGATGGGGACAGCAATATGCAAGTATTGTCCCTGCCTCGATCTCCCCCAGAAAAGTAAGGAGGATCAGGGCCAGTTTAGGACTCCATCTGCTCCTCCCTCATCATGGACACCTGCCCTTTCTTCCCACCTCCCGTTTGCAGTATGCCATCTCTGCCCTGGAAGAAGGCCTCTGGCTAAACCTTCCCTCTCACCCCCAATTTCTGCATTTGTGTGTTCTGTGAAGTGCATGCAAAGGGATCTTTGTTTGGGAGAGTTGGTGGTCACTCAGTGAGCTGTTATCTCAAGCCAAGGGCACCCAGCCCATCCCTCCTGGCCACAGGGGACATGTTGGTGTCACACCACAGCCACTCCAACCAGCCCCAAGCCAACAGGATGGGCCTCAAAGCCCTAGGAACATCCTCTGCTCCAGCTCATGGTCACATCTCCCTGCCCTATGGGGTCCATAGGGAAGGTCATTCTCTATCCAGGACACCACCAGCCAGCCAGCCCTGCATCTCTCTGCCTTCCCTTCTCTGTGCCTGTGATAAAACTAGCAAAGCTGCCATGCAGCCACCCCAGATCTCTTTCAGGCATTGAGCGATATGCTTTCTTCCCAGTGTGAGCTGCGTCTTCTCCATACTGCACAGCTGATTTTTGTGCTGTGATCAACCAAACCATGAGACCCATCAAACTCATTTCACCCAAGGACCAGCCCAGGGCAAGGATGTAGCCGGGCTCCCAAAGTGGAGGAATACCCCTGGCTAGTGGCTCCATCCACACAGCCAGCAGGGACTTGCTCTCAGATGCCCTTTGGCAGGTCCAGCTGGGCACAGGGCATCATGTGCAGGCAAAACACTACCTTTGCCCTCAGTGCTTTCGTGGAGGGGGCAGGAGGGGGCTAACTGTTTGCAAGCACCCAGGTGAAATGAAAATGCAGCCACCCTCAGCTTATCCCAGGGCCAGCTGTGCCTCCCAGGTGCATCCTAGAACAGCCAGGCTGGTGGTATTTGCACAAATTAAAGCCCAACTTCTGGAGCCACAAGAATTTTAAAAAATAAGGTGTTATACATGCTAAGAGCTTGAAAACATATATAGTAGAGGTTAAAGCTCCAGAAACTGAAAGGTAAGGGGAATAAGCCCAATTATTTTTTCTATGTTGAGCACAATTTAATGGTTTTAGTGACATAATCATGACTCTGAATGGGTCTACTCCTCCAGGGTAAGCCAGGGGAGAAAGAAATAGCACAGCCACTAGGAGCTTTCAAAATATGCTCTGCATTTGACAAGTGTTTGCAATAGCAGGAAGAATTTTCAGCTGCTTCTTGCAAGTGTCCAAAGGCTTGTTTCTGTACACTTGAACCAGGGTTTTCTCATTCCATGGGTCCAGCAGCAACAGCATTTTGAAACTGGGCAAAACTTCATTCACATCTTGACCAACTGGAAAGGAAGGATGTACACCAGCTCTGCTGGGGTGAGTTATTTTTATTTACTCCATGACAAATTAAGTAAGGGGATTGCAGAAAGGAGGAAAAATAATTGTAGGCAGATACAAAATAAAAATGGGGAATTTATGTTTTTAATATCTGATTTCACAAGAGGCAGGCAGGCTTTCCCCCAAGCTCACACAAACACTGAGAGCACCAGGGTGCTTCGGAGCCAGCAGCCTTCCCAGTCAATTTCTATTTTCCATCAAATGCAATAGTAACTTTCCCGTAAACAAGCATGTTCTTCAAGCCAAAGAGGCTGGAGGCAATGCCTGAGAAAAAAAAAAAACAACAGTCCCAAACATTTTTAAAGCACTTAATTACTGTTCTCAAAGGCTGTATAATAGAATCTTTGAGGTAGTCTCTAAAGAAATGGGATGCAAAATTGTTTTATAATGTTCACCAAATTTTGTTATTGTTACTAACCAAGCCTCTGTAATTTTTCTAAAATGGATCCACAAAGCATTAAGATACATTTTATAGCCAGAGAGACTGGTATATTATCCCATCTGACCCATTGTCTAACTCAAATCCCATCTGACCTTTGCATGGAGTTCTGTAATGTGTGTTTGACTATTTGCTCATCTTTCAGAAAGGCAGGCAGGGTTTGAGGACAACAGGAGATAAAGGAGCTACCACCACCTGTGGTTTGCTTACAGTTTTGTTTAAAAACAAACAAAAACATAAACAAAACATAAATATAAGATGTTTTATTTTCCAGAGTACAGAGAAAATCTCAACTGTCTTTAAAGAGCTTGTAAAAGTAATCACAGAAAAACTAAAAAATAAAGTCACTAACACTCTTACTGCTTTTCACCCTGATAACAACACAACTGATAGAAGTGAAAATGAGGTTAAGAAGTGGGGATAAAAATTCCAAGTCTGGCTCACAGATATCTCAAAATTTTCTTGGCATCAATGCAAAGTTCCCAAAAGGACAGGTTTTTTGTTGTTGTTTGTTTGTTTGTTTTTAATAAAATAACAATTTAAAAGATCAGGAATAAAAAATAACTATTATAAAAGATACATCAAAGGTATCAAAATAAATAAATTGATCATGCCTAGGGAGTGAAGAGAATTCACTCCTGAAAGAGCTGGAAGTCCCAGGAAGGTCTGCTTTCCCAGAGCAGTAAGCAGACTTTGACTGAACTGAGTGCAACTTCGTCTTTTGCACCAGCTTAAATCTGTCTTCAGCAGTATCTTGTGCTTGTCAAAGCATCTACAAAGGCCCCCAAAAGTGTACATATTACTTGCAATCCACTGCTGAACTTGCCCTGTGCTATTCTGCTCCTGTGGTCAAGTGATTACAGAAACAAAGCTGGGGAAATTTAATACCTTTTATTAGAAGGGTTGGATGCACAATGCAAGAAGCTAATACATATTTTTGTTTGTTTGTTTTTACCATTTTGGCTTTGGAAAGGCAGAAAAGGTGCTGGTGTGCCCAGAAGCCTGTTATTTTTTTTATTTTTTTTTATTTTTTTAGCCATATCAACCTAAGATTGTGCCACTACAGATGGTATTGACACACCTGAACACGCAAATGGCTGCATGACCTCTTCACTGTAAGCTTGACTTTGTAACCTTCATGCTCTCTATCGCTGTTCCCTGCATGGTTGACGCACACTGAGGAGGCTCCCATGAGGTCTGCTTGTGCTTTACCAATATTAAACCTGGCCTCATATTTGCAGGTTTTCCCTTTGGTTCATGCAGGGACAGTTCAAGGGACACTATTGCAGTGACTAGGCTGGGGACTGGGAGGAGACCCAAAGCCACATCTGAGGCTGATGAGTAAGACTCAACAGTGTCCCAGAGAAAAGGGGCAGTTTCTAGGCTAACAGATTTCCCCCCCTCATTTTTGTTTCAGAAAAACCTTTTCCTTCTGACATCACAAAGCATTTTCCATCTGCATCTCTTGAAGAGTCTCAGCAAGACAACTAGCATGCTTTTGCCTTGTGCAGAATGCAAAGCTGATGTTGTGGCCAGGAAGAACTTTAGGAACAGATCTGGTCTCCTGGGCCTCAGGCTTGGCTCCAGACTTCATCTACCTGGTCTGGTGTTCAAGTCAGCCTGGCTCAGGGGAACTGCAAAGGTTTCCAGGGAGAAGTTCTCCTTAGCCATCACACTTAAAAGGTGGCTGTGCCCAGGAGTAAGGGAGCTTAGAGCCCTTCAAAAGCTCCAGTTCATCTTCAGCCTGTGCTACCATGATTCCACTATCCCATATTATAATAGTAGAGGGTATTTCCTGTGAATGGTTTTCGCTTGCTGTGACAGTAACTTGCATGGGCTCACACTTTTACCCCACTCTTTTGAGAGTCCAGAAAGCGAGTGCAGGTGCAGAGCATCTGTTGCCAGCGTGCTCTGAGTGGGCACCAAAAGGGACAGAAGTGCTGAGGGGTGTGTACGTGTGGATGAACCACCTCTTGAGAATCACAGGAAACTCTGTGTGTGCATTTGAGGGGGGAAGAGAGGATGCTGTCCCATCGAAGGACCAGCAGCATCAGCTTGGAGAAGCAGGACAGTCAGGATGGGAGGGGAATTATGTGCAGTACTCCACAAAGGTGTAATTAGGAAGAGCAGGACTGAGTGAGTAAAAGCACATTCACAGAATCACAGAATCACAGAATTTCTAGGTTGGAAGAGACCTCAAGATCATCGAGTCCAACCTCTAACCTAACACTAACAGTCCCCACTAAACCATATCCCTAAGCTCTACATCTAAACGTCTTTTGAAGACTTCCAGGGATGGTGACTGCACCACCTCCCTGGGCAGCCCTCACCAGCTGGCAGGAGACAAGATCACCCTGGACGTGAGAGGGACCATGCCAGCTCCCAGCTCGAGCACCATGCCCCAGCTGCCTGCCAGCCGCACCTTGCTCCTGTCCCCACACACCTCAAAAGAAAATTTGGCTCTCCCTGTGAGACCAGGAGCACACGTGCTGCTGCTTGCCTGGACACAGCCACCATCTTTCAGAGAGGCTTGTGTGGGCCACCACAGACTGAGTCACAGGGAGTCAAAGATACCCTGCTGTAGTGGCCTTAAGGCTAGTAGCTGGAGGGGAAAGGTCTTTGGATTCGAGAGGTCGGGAGTGGACAAGAGGATGAAGCAGGAAAAGCAGGAAGGTGGCCCAGCAGAGCAGTGTAAATAATGGCTAATGGGTGTCTTTGGCAGGCCTGAGGAACCCGAGAAAACTCTGCATGGGAGCTGCTGAAATAGGTTCCTCTTGCACCACAGGCATGCATTTTGTTTCCTCTCCAGGCTCCCTGTGCTCCCCTCAATATTATTACTATCAGCAATATTTGGAAACAAAACCCCATTTCTAACTGAGCAAAATCAAGCCCTTTCATTAAGAAATCTGCCCCGTGGCATGCTTTGATCTTTTTTAGCTGAACCCATCAGCGAGCTCGGCAGGAGCTGCAAATAGCCCCGGCCGGCTTACAGCTGGCCAGCCTGTGCTGGAGCGATTTTGCTTGTCTCTGGTGCCGAGACTGATTGGCTTGGAGTCCCTTTTGTAACACGGGCAGGAGGAGCTTTATCTGCGGGTTTTACATGATCCTGTGATCTTTTCCTTCACTAATTTGCCATGCGGCCTAATGAGCGTGCAGAGGCATGTGTCGCCCCGCATGGCTGCAGGCCTCTGCTCGGCAGCCGGCAGATGGTGCTCCCACCTCACCGCACTGCACCGTGTCCAGGCTTTGCAGGGGATCCTGGCATAAAAAACCTCCCCTCTCCTCCAGGCCACAGCACCTGGAGCCCCCAGCAGGGGTAAAACCCATGAAAAACTGAGAGACGTCACAGCAGAGGAGCAGAGACGTGCGGAGGGCTGGCAGCAGCCTGACACGTGCTGTCTGTGGCCACCACACGTGTCTCATGGCACTCATCCCTGGGCAGCTCAGTGGCTGCTGCTGAGTCCTCTACCGACACCTCGGGAAGAGCCAGGTGCTCACTGACCCTCAAGAGGGAGATGGATGCTCTGTACATGAGATCAGGAACCATGTTTTCACACTCGTGCCCCCTGATAGATCCTAGGAAGACCCCCTAGGTCAGGGGCCCGCAGTCCTGGCTCAGCTGTTTGCCCTAAAACAGTAGTAAATACTGTGCTGGCACGAGCCCAGCGAGGTCTTTTTCTCTTTGCCTACGGATGACTAACATGACTAACCCTCGGCATTTACCCGCGATGAGTCAGGCCTGCAAAATCATGAGACCGGCTTGAGAATAATACACAGTGAGAGCTATTTGTGTCCAAGCCTTTAAGGTACTCTTGGGGCTTGTTTCCTCTGGAATCGGCAGGGCTGGGAACATGCTGTTCTTGCAAATGAAAGGCAAGCTGAGAGTCCTGAGCTGCAGGCGATGAGGCTTTCTGATGAGCATCAAATGTCAAAAAGCTTGCGATAGATTATAGGAGGCGGGAAGGCTGAGAAGGCATACAGACCTCTCTGAGTTGCCTCAAACTTGTTGAGTGGGGGTCCTGGCTGTTTGCACGAGAGATCTTATGCATTCAGTGCTCATGCATTAAAACACTGGATCTTTCTTGCTCTGTCTTTGGCCAAAATCTTCTCTTGGCTTTCATTGTGTTGCTCATTTCCACCTTGGGAGTGGCTGCACTTCAGCAATGAGCATCAGACCAGCCTATGGGGTGTTGTGACTCTCTGAGCTGTAAGGAAAGCTGAATCCTTTCCTAATAAAATCTAGGGCTCAGGTTCTGGCTCTAGCGTCAGTGTCCATTTGTACTGACCAGGATCATCTCTTCTGCCAAAATAGTCAGTCAGCCCCAATAAAAGGTGATGATCAGGAGTTTGGAGGCTGAATCAGACAGCTGGGATGAAGAAACAGCTTCAAGACATGCAGGGTAAACTGGCACCATGTATTACAAATCCTCTGCAAATACCATTGCTGACAAAGACAGAATCCAGATCCTGTCAAAATCCTAAGTATGAGGCACTTTTTTTGATGGTTGTTAGAACAATGTAGTGGACGCTGTTGTTGGACAACCTTGACCTCTGTTCTAAATGTCCCAAGAAACAGGCTGCTACATAAATAGCAAAGCAGCACTTCTGTTTGCCTGTTGGGAATAAGACCCTTGGCTTTCATACTGTCAACCTGTTTTCCCCGCTGATGAAGGCTGCCAGAGAGAGGAGTGTTGTTGAAGCATAATGCTTTCTGAAGGAGGTATTTCTCTTCCTGTCTAAAGGGATAAGGCTAAGAGCATGGGCTAAGGCCTGATGAAGATGAACAGATTTTCCTTGAAGCCCTAAAAAGCAGACATCCAGAGACTGAAGGAAAGAAAAATGTGGCAAGAAACAATAACCCTTTGCTGAGTGTGAATCTTGAAGCCCACTTAGGAAAGAGGGATTCATCCTGGTCAGGTGCTGCTGAGGGGTGTCAGTACGTGACAACAAACTGTTCTGGCCATGCTACATTCATTTGTCACAACTGATAGCAGTCAAGCTTGCTTGTACCCCTGTTTTACAAAGTCATTCGTGTCTGACCTCCATCACGGCAGCATCCAAAGACATGGTCCAATACAGCCTCCCAGCACACTTATGAAACATCAGCTGTTGAGTGGAGGCTGGCAAGTGCAGCATGGCACAGGTAACGACTTGCCCAGAGTTGGGCAGTGAGGTGATGTATCGTATGATGCATCTGAGCTCAAAACAGCAGAGCGGAGCCTGCTACCTGGGAGAGGAAGGGGAGTGAGGTTGCTCCCTACACCATTTCAGTGCTGAGACAGGGAACCCTACTGAGGTGGGTGCAAGGCCATCCTGTGAAATGGGAGACTTCTGGCCAGGGGCTGCCTGGGGCTGAGACCTTGGTGAACTGGGATGGCACCCTACCAGGCGCAAAAGAGGACCCTACATGAAGTGAGCTTTTCCCAAGCACCAGAGTTTATTTGGTGACCTGCATCTGGTCTCAGAGTGCAAATCAACAGTGATGTTGCACCGGTTTTACAGTAATACATGCAAAGTAGGAATGAGCCCTGTGTTTACAGGACAGAGCACTCGTTACACCATCCCTGTCACACCAATAGAGAGAAGGCAAAAAAAAAAAAAAAAAAAGCAACTGCTACCACATTAATCCATCACCAGGTGGTATTTTCTGGAATTAGGTACTTTATGTAACTTTGTCATTACCTGTTACCACCACAAAAGCCGTGCTAACTCCCAGAGTTTCTGCCAGCCTTCATAGCAGTTGTTCGGAAAAATCCCACCCTTCCTCTGCTCAGCTTTCAGAAATATGGCAAAATGATTCAGATCTCGTGTCATCAGGGCGAGCGAAGAGTAAAAAATACATAACCTTTGGTGGCAGTGAAGGCACGAGCTTGGGACGTGCGGTCCCTGCAGTTCCCTCTGCTACACGGGGATGGCGATGCTGTCTCAGCTCTTATTTCAGCCGACAATGCACACTGTGCGCTCTGTGAAGGGCTCTTTTTTTAGCACCACAGGGCGTGCTGATAGATGATTGCACATGACAGGAGTCATTCTTACAGCCAGAGTCTGTCTGCTCTTGCTACGTCCGAAGCCTTGCATGCAGCTGCTGGAACAGCCCTACCCGCCTGGGTTCTGTAAGCAGAGAAAGAACAAAATGTCTTCAGGAATTAAGTGTGGCTGGTTTCTGTGAGGCTTTTTTTTTTTTTTTTTTTTTTTTTTTTTAATGCCTATTTACAGACTGTATCAGTGGTTGGTAGGTGGTGATGCTCAGGGGAGAGAGCACATCCTGATCAGGAAACAGGGTCTTCTAATTCCAGCTCAGACTTTGACCATGGATAAATTATTCCCTTTCACATGCCCCAGTCTTCCTCCACAGCCAAAGTGTCTACTTAAACTATAAGCTTTTGGAGACAGTGAGTATCTTCCAGTGAGGGTTTGTAGAGCACCTGGCAAAATAGGGGCCTTTATCTTGATTGCAGCTTTCACTCATTATCTTAATAATAAGCATCAAAGTCTTCATATAAATTAATTTACCTGAACACTCCCTTGGCATTATTGCCTCTAGATCATGTGTGATAAGAAAAGATGGAGGAAACTGTGTGTGTGTGTGTGCACGTGTGCATGTCAGTGTGTGTAAAACCCCTTTCTGAGTTTGGTGTGACTGGAGGTGTGACACCTGGGCTGTAGGCGGAGATGACTGCCCTCCAAGTGGCAGCACCATACCTCAGACGTGATGTGTGTGCCATCTCTGCTGCCTGCTGCAAGATGTCTTCTGTGTGGGAAGAAGGAGTCAGCTCCCGGGCTTGGATCCCGGAGGATGATTTTTTAGCAGTTGTGGTGGTTCTCTGCAGAGAGCACCTCCTCAGAGAGTGGGGCACACTGGAGGGTGAGCTGGTACCTCCATTACACATAGCTACAAGGGATACTGGTTGATCCATCTGATAAAATTAAAAAAAAAAAAAAAAAAAAAAAAAAAA